ATTCTTACAAGCCAGATGAATTTCAAAATTTTTATTTATTATTGGTTTTTACTTTTAAAATCAACCAAAATTAAGCAAAGAAATGTTGAATCATAAACATAAAAAGATATAGAAAAGGAGAAAGCTGTTAACCTCAGGTTGCCAGCTTTGGCCATATTCTGGTTTGCTTGTTTTATCCTTTAGCACCATTCTATGGGTTTTTCAGACTGGAAATTTAGTTCGCTTACCTCCAAATTTTGTTCATCTAACACATTTTCCTGCTCAATTGAAAAAAAAATAGATGAGCGAGAGAGAGCTCGTGGAGCATCAAGTACAAGAGGTGTTTTGCACACATTTCTGTATTTATTTGTTTTAACAAAATAGATGAGGGAGAGGGAGACGAGAGAGGGAGACGAGAGAGGGAGAGCTTGAAGAGGAGCTCCAATTCCTACAGGGATTATATTCTGATTTCCCCTTGATCTATTTCATTGACTGCCAAATTGAGATGTGCTTAGAAGATAGCACACCCCTTCGTATGGCTGGAGCATCCGTGGACACACCTCATCAGGTTAGCACCATTGCTTTTATCGTGGTATGAACTTAATTGTTTCTTTTTGTGTTCTATAGGTTCTGTCATACCTACAAACCTAGCTGAATTTCGAAATCTTTATTTATTATTATTTTTTACTTTTAAAACCCACTAGAATTAAACAAAGAAATGTTGAATCATAAACATAAAAAGATAAAGAAAAGAAGAAAGTTGTTAACCTCAAGTTGCCAATTTTGCTTTTATTTTGGTTTTATTGTTTTAACCTTTTGCTCCTCTCCATAGGTTTTTCATTCTGGAAACTTAGTTGTATTACCTCCAAATTTTGTTCATCTAACAGTTATCCCTACTCAATTGGAAAAAATAATAAATGAGCAAGGGTGAGGCTCTTAGAGGATCTTGCACAGAGTGAGTTTAACACTTTGCTATATTTATTTGTTTTGACAAAAATAAAAGTGGCAGAGGCAGGTTTTGGAGGATCTTCATGAAGAGCTTCACGCCAAAACGAGATAGGGGAGTTTCAAGAGGAGCTCCAATTCCAACAGAAGTTATATTCTGAGATCCTCTTCCTATGTTTCATTGATCGCCAAATTGAGATGTGCCTAGTAGATAGCACACCCCTTCGTATGGTAGGAGCATCAGTGGACAGACCTCATAAAGTTAGCACCATTGCTCTTATCTTGGTTCGAACTTAAATGTTTTTTCTTGTGTTCAATGGGTTCTATCATTCTTACAAGCTAGCTGAATTTCAAAATCTTTATTTATTATTACTTTTTGCTTTTAATATCCTCCAATATTAAGCAAAGAAAAGTTGAATAAAAAATATAAAAAGATAAAGAAAAGAAGAAAGTTGTTAACCTCAAGTTGCAAATTTTGCTCTTATTTTGGTTTTATTGTTTTAGCATTTTGCACCTCTCTATAGGTTTTTCATACTGGAAACTTAGTTGTATTACCTCCAAATTTTGTTCATCTAACACATTTTCCTGCACAATTGGAAAAAAATAGATGAGCTAGAGGGAGCTCATGGAGCATCTTGTACAAGAGGTGTTTTACACAATTTTCTGTATTTATTTGTTTTAACAAAATAGATGAGGGAGAGGGAGACGAGAGAGGGAGAGCTTCAAGAGGAGCTCCAATTCTTACAGGGGTTATATTCTGATATCCTCTTCCTGTGTCTCATTGACCACCAAATTGAGATGTGCTTAGAAGATAGCACACCCCTTCGTATGGCTGGAGCATTCGTGGACACACCTCATCAGGTTAGCACCATTGCTTTTATCATGGTTTGATCTTAATTGTTTATTTTTGTGTTCTATGGGTTCTGTCATACTTGCAACCTAGTTAAATTTTGAAATCTTTATTTATTATTGCTTTTTACTTTTAAAACCCACCAGAATTAAGCAAAGAAAAGTTGAATCACAAACATAAAAAATGAAGAAAAGAATGAAGCTGTTAACCTCAGGTTGCCAGCTTTGCTATTGTTTTGGTTTGATTGTTTTAACCTTTTGCACCTTTCTGTGGGTTTTTCATAGTGCAAATTTAGTTGGATTTCCTCCAAATTTTGTTCATCTAACACATTTCCCTGTTTAGTTGAAAAAAAAATAGATGAGCGAGAGCGAGCTCATGGAGGATCTTGTACAGGAGGAGTTTAACACACTTTTCTGTATTTATTTGTTTGAACAAAAATAGATGAGGGAGAGGTAGATTTTGGAGGATCATCATGAAGAGCCTCACGCTCAGACGAGAGAGGGAGAGCTTCAAGAGGAGCTCCAATTCCTACAGGAGTTATATTCTGATATCCTCTTCATGTGTTTCATTGATCACCAAATTGAGATGTGCCTAGTAGATAGCACACCCCTTCATATGGCAGGAGCATCAATGGACAGACCTCATCATGTTAGCACCATTGCTCTTATCTTGGTTTGAACTTAAATGTCTTTCCTGTGTTCAATGGGTTCTGTCATTCTTACAAGCTAGCTGAATTTCAAAATCTTTATTTATTATTGCTTTTTGCTTTTAAAATCCACCAATATTAAGCAAAGAAAAGTTGAATCATAAACATAAAAAGATAAAGAAAAGAATAAAGTTGTTAACCTCAACTTGCCAATTTTGCTCTTATTTTGGTTTTATTGTTTTAACCTTTTGCTCCTCTCTATAGGTTTTTCGTTCTGGAAACTTAGTTGTATTACCTCCAAATTTTGTTCATCCAACCGATATTCCTACTCAATTGAAAAAAATAGTAAATGTGCAAGAGCGAGCTCTTGGAGGATCTTGCACAGGGTGAGTTTGTCACTTTGCTATATTTATTTGTTTTAACAAAAATAGATGTGGGAGAGGCAGGTTTTGGAGGATCTTCATGACCTTCACGCCTAACGAGATAGGGGGAGCTTCAAGACGAGCTCCAATTCCTACCGAAGTTATATTCTGAGATCCTCTTCCTATGATTCATTTATCGCCAAATTGAGATGTGCCTAGTAGATAGCACACCCCTTCGTATGGCCGGAGCATCAGTGGACAGACCTCATCAAGTTAGCACCATTGCTCTTATCTTGGTTTGAACTTAAATGTTTTTTCTTGTGTTCAATGGGTTCTGTCATTCTTACAAGCTAGCTGAATTTCAAAATCTTTATTTATTATTACTTTTTGCTTTTAAAATCCACCAATATTAAGCAAAGAAAAGTTGAATCATAAACATAAAAGATAAAGAAAAGAAGAAAGTTGTTAACCTCAAGTTGTCAATTTTGCTCTTATTTTGGTTTTATTGTTTTAACCTTTTGCTCCTCTCTATAGGTTTTTCATACTAGAAACTTAGTTGTATTACCTCCAAATTTTGTTCATCTAACATATTTTCCTGCACAATTAGAAAAAAATAAATGAGCTAGAGGGAGACGAGAGAGGGAGAGCTTCAAGAGGAGCTCCAATTCCTGCAGGGGTTATATTCTGATATCCTCTTCCTGTGTCTCATTGACCGCCAAATTGAGATGTGCTTAGAAGATAGCACACCCCTTTGTGTGGCTGGAGCATCCGTGGACACAACTCATCAGGTTAGCACCATTGCTTTTATCGTGATTTGATCTTAATTGTTTCTTTTTGTGTTCTATGGGTTCTGTCATACTTACAACCTAGCTGAATTTTGAAATCCTTATTTATTATTGCTTTTTACTTTTAAAACCCACCAGAATTAAGCAAAGAAAACTTGAATCATAAATATAAAAAATGAAGAAAAGAATGAAGTTGTTAACTTCAGGTTGCCAGCTTTGCTATTGTTTTGGTTTGATTGTTTTAACCTTTTGCACCTTTCTGTGGGGTTTTTCATAGTGGAAATTTAGTTGGATTTCCTCCAAATTTTGGTCATCTGACACATTTCCCTGCTCAGTTGAAAAAAAAATAGATGAGCGAGAGCGAGCTCATGGAGGATCTTGTACAAGAGGAGTTTAACACACTTTTCTGTATTTATTTGTTTGAACAAAAATAGATGAGGGAGAGGTAGATTTTGGAGGATCATCATGAAGAGCCTCACGCTCAGACGAAAGAGCGAGAGCTTCAAGAGGAGCTCCAATTCCTACGGGAGTTATATTCTGATATCCTCTTCATGTGTTTCATTGATCGCCAAATTGAGATGTGCCTAGTAGATAGCACACCCCTTCATATGGCAGGAGCATCAATGGACAGACCTCATCATGTTAGCACCATTGCTCTTATCTTGGTTTGAACTTAAATGTCTTTCCTGTGTTCAATGGGTTCTGTCATTCTTACAAGCTAGCTGAATTTCAAAATCTTTATTTATTATTGCTTTTTGCTTTTGATGAAGAAAAATAAAACATCGGATAGCGACTTAATCATTAATTACATTGTCTTGTGGAAATATAGGAGCATCAAATAGGAGACTCGGACGTTAATATCACATTTGTTTTGTGAAGGATTGAGAAGGAGTAGGTTATTTGGTCTTTAGATGTTTCTTCTCCAGTTATACATAACAATGATGTCAACAACGAAATCATATTATTAAGCCAATTGAAACAATTCAGAGGAGAAACAATTATTGCTTCTCATGTTTTCAGCCAATTGAAACAATTCAGATGTTTCTTCTCATGTTTTCTGCCAATTGAAACAATTCAGAGGAGAAACTTTTAGCAATAGTTTTGTTATAATCTCTATTATTAAGTTATACTAGCTTAGAATGATCAAAGCACAAAGGGAATTTGAAAAAATGGATAGTAATTTCGAGTCCATTTAAAAGCTTGGACATTTCTCTTTTTTTTTTTGTCAAAATAGCTTCATATATTTTGGTGCAAACTGTACAGTATTTGGACAAGAGTCCAAGCACAAAAGACAACAGTCCTACCATTTACCTTGGTGCATTAGCCCCAAAAATTGGAATTCACCCATTCTTCATCCAATCAGATTTCAACAGCATGTTTGCTCAGCTTACTTATACTATCTCACCTATGTTAACAAAGGAAAATGAGCACAGTCAAAACAACCTACTAATAGACTGTATATCATCAATTAGTGCAGCAACTCGACTATTCTTATGGCCTGATCTCTGAATGTATTCAAATAATTTCTTGTTGTCCACCTCGATCTGGATATGTCTCCACCCTTGGTTGGCTGCTTTTATCATAGCCAACTTCACTGCTTCTGCCTGGTCCTGTAGAGAATCACCAGACCTCCTCTCCCTGATCATCCAAGCTGCCTGCAGTTGTCCTGAGCTGTCTGTTGCCATAATCCCTATCCCAACAACTAGCTGATCTTTGTTTTGTTGGGTGAGTATCTTGAGCTGCATTTTCCATTGTTCTTCATGATCATTTTGATTAGTTATGTGCTGTACTGCTATTTCCCGAGTGCTCTTTCTTGGTTCAGCCCCCTTGTTAGCTTCATAATACTCCATCCATTCCATTTGAGCCTTCTCAATTATTCTGTGAGGCTCCCTATCCTTTTTGTTGAATTCTCGGTCGTTCCTGGCTTTCCAGATTTGCCAAAGAACATTACTGGTTAGATTTATTTGGTCATCAGTTGCTCTGATTTCCTGAGATTCAGTGACAGCTGTCCACCATTTTAGAAAAGAATCTGTCAGGTGCTCTAAACCATCCCACTGAATTGGGGCCATCTCCCAGATGCCCTTAACTTTTTTACGTTGAAGTAGCACATGTTCAGTTGTTTCTTCATTCTCTCCACATCCTGAGCATATAGGATTCCCTTGCTTAGTTCTCCTATATATGAGCTCTCTTACTGGTAAAGCATTGTGCAGGCATTTCCAGATGAAGATTTTGAGTTTATGTTCCACTTTCTTCTTCCACACTATCTTCCAAACCTTGCTATTGTTGCTTTTGTAGCTTGGGCCAATCTCTTCCCCGACATCTGCATTTCAAAATTGGTCGAGGCATCTTCCAAAGCTTGGACATTTCAAAATTGGTCGAAGTTTTGTGTAATCAGAGAAACTAGAAGATACAACAACAAAGTTCACAAAAGTATGCAATATGTACTTCAGTTTCTTGGGCCCTTCTATTGGTGGAGGTTGCAGCACCATCACTTGGTTGCGCAATTTCCAGCAGCAAACACACCATTACCCACAATAAGTTGAACATCTCTTCCCCAAAAAAAAATATGCAGATAGCATTGAACATTGTCCAAATTTTAATCGGTGTAGCACTGCAAGAAGGGGGAGGTCAAAAGTGCTTTAATTAATTACTTGCATCTCAAACTGGTTCAAGTGCTATCTAGGAAAGCATGATTATGCACCCTGTAACCAAATATTTTTTGGTAGTCGAGCTTTATCAAACTTTTGATCAAAATCTATTAATTGTGTGGATGTAGAATTGTCTATAGGGCTCATGTATAAAGGAGATCAATTATTTCACTAGATGTTAAATTAAGAACTATTCTACCAATGTGTGAACCCTAAAACTTCTTTAGTTGTTATACCAACCACACAGGTTGAAAAAGCCCCAACCCCACAAAAGATCAAAGAGGTGCCTAGTTCATCCTGGTCTACAGTGAAACCCCAACCCAAACAATCCCGGTACCTGCTAGAGATTGAAGAATGGACTGTTGAGCCCGAGTCTATAGCAGAGGTCCGGTTCAGTGCTGAATCTGTCTCTATTACTCAATCTGAACACATTATGCCTACCCATTCACCTAGGTAATCTAGTATATTTTGTGTAAAGTTACATGTTAATGCGAAAACTCACACTTCCTTACTAATGAAGTCAGCATGATTTTCTTTTGAAAATTGCAGATTTGTTCAAAGGAAGGATGTCATCAATCGAATTCGAATTCTGAAGCTGCTAGCACTATTGGGTGGGATAACTGTAGGTTATGCCTTCAATGTTTCAGGTAACAATCCTTTTAACTAGACTATTACTACCAACGTTGAGTTTAGCATAAAATTAAAATCAATAGGCCACAAGGTTTCAGAAATTGGAAAGACGAACTAGATACATGATGATGATCCAAAATTTTCTACCCAGAACAAAAACATAGTAAAAACAAGTCTAAGATAACAAAGAGAGACCATTAATTCAGAATAGAGAGATGACAAAGAAAAAGAACCTCAATAATGTATACTTCATCCCAGCTGCTATGGAGTTTCAGAATGGCAGGCATTTCAGAACAATTGCAGTAGTGAATAACCAAAATCAGCAAAACCCAAAAAGAACAGGGAAAATTAGGGAGGGATTCCACTTCCACCTAATATATAGAGCCAGAGGATAGGAGAAAGATAAATAGAGAGAGGGAAGGGGAAAGAGAGGATTGCAGCATAGGGCAAGAGAGAAGTGGGGAAATCAAAAGCAAAAGAAATCATGAATTTCAATATTTGATTGATTGAAAAATACAATCCACCAATTTAGGAATAAAATTGTTGTCAGTATCTTCGCTCACTTTGCATATTTCTTGAGACTACAATCGGAAGTTTGCGACTACATGCTAAATCAAAAAATTAAATAAAAAAAAGTGAAAAAAATAGAACGATGGCGCAGTAGGATACATAGGTTAATATAAAGCTAAATACGTAAAGTAGACCATATTCTGTTGGAATTTGCCATTGGGCTGGCCCATTGCAATAGGCCTATTATATGATGCAATGACTTTCCTTTTTTGAAAATTTCTACCATCTATTATTCTGTAGATATCTAGAAAACATGCTAGCAATGAGAACAGAAAACCTAACACAGGATGATTATTCATATGCATGAGAGAGTTAGAGGACGGATAAGGGAGGTAGCTTAGCAATGTGGACTTCATCCTAATTCCACTGATATGGATTTCAAAATAATCTAGTACTGCTAAGAATTTTGCCCTCTTGGAAACTTAGAATAATTGAACAAAGTAGCAAATAACCAAAAATCAGCAAAGATATAAAAGGAGAACAGAGACAGAGGAGAAAGGGAGAGAGTGGAGAAAGAGATGTGGTACTTGCAGCATAAGGCATGAGATGAGGGGTTAAAAAAAAGTAATTGGGGACTTGAAGATGAAATTGACTGAATTAAAAAAAAAAATTAGAAGCAAATACAATTCACCAATTCAGGAATAAAACCATCTCAGTTCCTTCACTCCGTTTGCATAGATCCTTCACCCTTGCCAGGGAATAAAAACAAAATTGGAAGATTAAATGAAAGTTTGGGTATGAACAATGGCGGCCTATCAGAGCCAAATCAAATTTATCAAAAAAAAAGGGATGACTGTCTGTTGGATACACCGATTATGCTATACATGTCAAGTAGACCAAATATGTTACAATTTGCGATTGGGCTGGACCATGGCTATAGGCCTATCCTCTGGTGCAAGTACATGACTCTTTTCAAGCGTTTTCTGATTTCAATTTTCCAATACGTACACTATTATCCATTAGTATTTGCTCTGAATAAATCTATACAGATATGGTATTAATCTGCCCATATTAGAGAACCGCTTCTCTAACATCATACATAGAAATAAAAATGGACCAACTAAAGATGCCTTATTCAATAGGTTAATTTATGATTCAAAAATGAAAACATTGTAGATTGACTCGATGCTTTGCCTATTCTTTCAGACATTGAAATTTATGCAGTGGAGAATGATTTTTACACAGTAATAGCATTCTAGTGTCCAAACAAGTTGCCCTAAACGCACCCTGCATCATCTAATGAGATTTTGATGTGTTTGGCATGCATTCAAGTTTCCCTATCTCTGCCCCCTCCCCCCGCCCTCCCTCCTTCCTTTTTCTCTCTCCCTCTCTCTTTTGTCTCCGTCTGTCCCCTTCTTCCCCTATAACTCCCTCCCTCTCTCTCTCTCTCTCTCTCTCACTCCTTCTGTAACACCCCAATCTCCCTCTCCTCTCCCTGTTGACCTACAACTGTCACCATAAGCTTCATAACTGTGACTTCTAACTTCACAGTTGAACAAAGTGGGAGGTAGTATGCTACTTTCAAGTCGATTTTTATAGTATGCTGCTGCTACTAATTCAAGATAATGATATTGATGATGCTATCTTACAGCTATTCCATTACATATCCTACACAAAACTGATTTGTGCTAATTGACATCCTAGTACTCAAGACAAAACTGTCTATTAACAGTTGGACAAATTTTCTACCATCTATTTTCCTGTAGATATCTACAAAAAGATGGTATAAATAAGAACAAATAACCTAATACAGGGAGATGATTCATTTGTAAGAGAAAGAGAGAGGATAGACAAGGTACCTCAGTAATGTAGACTTCATCTGTTCTGTGCTTTCCCTGATATGGAATTCAAGATACATCAGCTACTACTACAAAAGTGCCCACCTGCAAACTCAAAACAATTAAACAATAGTAGTAAATAATAAAAAATCAGCATAAATACAAAAGGAGACCAGAGACAGACAGATTTTACACAAAAAAGAAAAGGATAGAGACAGACAGAGGGAATGGTGGACAGAGAGAGAGATAGAGATGTGAAATTCAGCAAAGGGCGAGACAGAAGAGGGGAATTGAAAGAGAAAAGCAATTAGGGATTTGAAGATTAAATTGATTGGATTTGGAGCCAAAAGAAGTTAAAAGACATAAAATTCACTACCTTTCCATAGATCCATTACCCTTCCCAGAGAATAAAATTGATTTGTTTTTTGGTTCTAAGGGGGCCCAAGGCCCTTTTACATTTCGAAGAATAAATTTAAAGTTAGGGTATGAACAATGCCTGCCTATCAAAACCTAATGAAAAGTGAAAAAGAAACCTGTTGGCTACATGGGTTAAGTTAATATGTCAAGTTATTTAAAGAATGTATATAAACTGGGAAGAGGGTGTCAAAGCATGGTCGTCCTCCATGTCTTTCTCACGTGCGGGTTGTGAGAGTAGCCCATGAGATGGCATATGTGTCCCTTGTTCTTTTCTTGTTTCTTGGAACCAAAAAAAACCATCAACCGCTTTTTGTCCTTGGAACCTTACGGCAATTATTGTGTCTTTACTGATGACCTTATAGAAAGCCACGATGCTTTTTATGGAGCTGTTAAAAGCTGGGTAATGATGATTAGCTTCCTATTAAAAGTAGATAATGAGATGGCAGAACTTAAATGAATTACTGCTAGCCTTATCGAAAGGCATGATGCTTTTTATGGAGCTGTTAAAAGCAGGGTAATGATGATTAGCTTCCTATTAAGAGTAGCTAACGAGTTGCCTGAACTTAATTGAGTTATCGGTGCTTCCTTCGGGTACACAGCCAGCTATACGTTCCTTGGCTATTCGGCCTTCGGCCGCCTTGATGATTCCTCGATTTTGTGGCGCACGAGCGCTCTTTGCGTCTTTTCATGAAGCTCCTCTGCCCACCTTTTCGTCATGCATAGGGATGGAACGTACCATTTTCGTCCGTATCCTCATGCAAGCTTCTACCCTTATACATTCCTCTCCAGCGGCTCATTTTTCGCCTGTTTCTCGGTCTTCCCTGTTTTTCCTACACTTTTTGGACTGTTAGCATCAGTGTCGATATACTCCCTGTTGCTGTTGGCTGGAAGAGGTGTTCATTTTTTTCCGCTTTAGCCTTCTTTTATCATCTTTTATTTCTTATTTCGTGCTAATCCAGGTTTTGATCTTAATCAGCCCATTCATCCACCAATCTGCATTCGGTTTGACTTGTTTGCTGGTTAGCATTTTTCATTAGCAAGCTTGGTTTCTATTATTATATTGCTTTGCCATGGCGTCTGCTGTTTAAATGGTTTTCGTTAGCTCTGTGTCGGCTGCTTAGGTGGTTATATAGTGTGCATTGTGTTTGTCAACTTGTTCCTTCAATTGTTCTTTGTTATTTCCTGCTGGGTTTTGCCTCTTACAGAAAAAGTCATGCCTTTTTCCACTGAAACTCGCTTTTATAGATGAGTCCTTGCTGTTTTATATTATTTGTGCCTTTTCTCCCAGTTGAGCTAAGAAATCGTACTTATGTCTTTTACAATGAAATTGGCTGTTCTACGCTCGAAGTTTATATGCAGATGTTGGATTCTTTTTCCTCTGTTTCGTACTGACGCAGCATTTTGTGTGCTTCTTCCCTTTCTTGCATGCAGATTGTGTGTTGCGTCTCCTGGAGTTGTACGTACTCTCTGCTCTTCAACCTGT